AAGCGTGGGAAAAGGGTTCACTCAGTCGTCCAATTTGGATTAACACCAAACAACTCGCGTTAAAACAAAGCTATTCACCTGCTCTTAATATGGGAAATGATATAGTCAGTTAGCCAACGTTGTCACACACCAGTGAACTTGCACTTTGGAGAGGGCGTTCACTTGCTCTCAGTGTGGGAGGGGATTTGCACAGTTATCAAGCTTACATATTCACCAAATAACTCAGAGCAGAAACAAACTATTCATTTGTTCTTAGCGCAGGATGGGATTCACTCAGTTCTTGAGCTTAAGTACGCACAAGATAATTCATTAAGTTGCTCTTTATATGGTGTGGGATATCACAGAGTTATTCAACTTGCATTCATATTAACAACTCACACCAGAGAGAAACCATTCAACTGCCCTGTGGAATGAGCTTCGCTCAGTTATCCATCAAAAATAAACACAGCAGAATTGACACATTGGTGAAATCATTCACCTGCACTAGTGTAGAAAGACATTCACTCAGTTCTCCAACATTCGTAGGCACCTTGAGAACACACACCGGATAGAAACCGTTCATTCACTTGTTATAAGCGTAGGAAGGCGTTCACTCAGTTATTCAAGTTCAAGGAACACAAACAATTTCACACTGGGTAGGAGATGTTTACTCTCTGTCAGTCCAACCAGCTGACTTGAGAGAGTTCACACTGATGAGCAATCATTTAAATGCCCAGACCAAGACAAGTGTTTCAAAACTTCCAGGGAATTAATGCATCATCAGGTTTACGCCGATTAAAGGCAATCTAGGTGTTTTGTCGATGGGACTGGATTCAAGTGATCACCTGACTGCACTCTGAATGAACGCATGCTTACTGGAGAGAGGCTGTTCATGAGGCTGCTCAAGTGTAGGTATGAATGCACTCCATCATCCCACCTGTTCAGTCACTGATGGGTTCGAAGTGACTAAAGAAGTTGCATTCCACTGGTATTGCTGTTGCGAGTCACATCGGGGATTGAACAGGTAGATCGATTCTCAAGAGTGTGAGAAATGTTTCCCAGCCACGCTTTTGAGTGGTTCAGATCTCCTAGACACGGAACAGAAGCTCCTTTATAACTGTGCTTGGAATCTGGAAGAACAAAGCGAATTCTGGAACAGTGCTTTAAAAGTCAGAGAAGGTGTCAAGATGTGGTTCAATAGATGTGAATGTGGAAAAGCACAGCAAGCCAAATCCCATCCTAAGAGCAGGGGAGTCAATGTTTCGGGCCACAATCCTTCTTCAGGACTATGAAGATACAGGAGCCAAGAAGTCAATAAAAGGAGGGGCTGGGACAGGGGAGATGGAATGGTGACACGTAGATGCAGGTAGGTGGTTATTGCGATTGGTCAATTGGAAAGGTGGAGCAGGAAGATGGACAGGTTAGGTTACAGAGTAGACGAGGAGGGGGAGGGGTGGACATGGAATAAGGCTGGGAGTGATACGATTTCGCATCATGGAATTCCAACAGTGCAGAATCAGGCCTTTCGGCCCATCGAGTCCACACCGACCCTCTGAAGAATGTCCCGCCCAGACTTATCCCCTTCCTTACTTAATCCACTGTAGACATTATGGGGAATTTAACATATCCAATCCACCTAACTTGCACATCTTTGAACTGTTGAAGAAAACCAGGGCACCCGGAAAAAACACACGCAGCCACGGGGAGAAGGTGAAAACTGTACACAGACAATATCCCAAGGGGTGAATTGAACCCGCGACTCTGATGCTGTGAGGCAGCTGTACTAACCACTGTGCCAAGGTGCCATCAACATTAAGGACTTTGGGCTGTAAGCTCCCAAGGTGAAATATCAGGTGTTGCTCCTCCAGCTTATGTTTGGCCTCACTCTGAAAGTGTAGGAGGCCAAGGATTCCCGATTACCCTCAAAACATTTGCTTCAGTAAAGAGAGGGGTACAGTTGACGCGGGTGAACTGCCTCCCTCCATATCACGTGGAAGTCGCTCCTTTGTACATCGATTCCATTGTCTGCTTCTCCCATCAATCGTAAGAACTGACCAATGGGAAAGACTGGAGTGTCAAAGCACTCTGGTTTTCCAGGCGATCAGAGGTTTCTTGATGTCTGAATGCGGATGCTGCACAACGAATTTCTGAAGCTGCTCATTTTTTGACAGCAAAGCTGCTGCTGCTACTTCTTTCTCTGAATGAATATCGAAATTCACCCAGACTGAAAATTCATCCTCTGTCTACACTCTGTCAGCACAATACTGTGTTTTCCACCCATTTCCGTTTATTTTTTTCCTTCTGGTAATGAATTGTTGAATTTCATGTTTACTCCTGCAGACACTCGTCCCCAGATGCTTCACAGGAGAGACTGAGTCGAAGTGATGGGATGGGCCTGGAACAGCAGATCCCCTGGCGCTTCAAATTGTCAACCAAATACTTTTTCAATGTTGTGCTGGTTCCCACTTCTACCACCATTTGTGGCAGTGAGATGTGAAATCCTGCTACCTGCTGGGTGAAATAAATCAGACTTAAAACCCACTCTAAACCTTCTGCCCCTCACATTAAAGCTAAGTTCATTGACCTCATTACTAAGAGCAAATCGTTCTTCTTTTCTACTCAATCTATGCACCTCATAATAGTGAACAAATCAATCAGTCCTTTTCTGCTCAAATGAAAAGAGCCCCACCTAACTAATCTGCATTCATAGCTGAAAGGCTAGATCCCATGCAACATCCCTGTGTATCTCTTTTATATCCTCTCCAGTGCAATCACATTATTCCAGTTGTGCAGCAGCCAGAACTGCGTGTAGTACGCAAGCATGTGGTCTAACATTTTATACAGCTCCGTCTTTACCTCCTTGTTCTTGTATTCAACGCCTCAACTAACAATGGTAACTATCCTTTCTATCTTCTTAACCACCTTACCCACTTATTCTCTTCAAAGGTGTCTGGATGTGCTCACTAATATCCCTCTGATTCTTTGTACTTACTAGGATACTGCCATTTACTATGTACTTCCCTTGCCATGTTACTTCTCACAACATGCACCACCTCATTTTTTTTTTCAATATTAAATTCCATTAGCGATTGTTCGCCAATATGTGCAGCTTATCTATAGTATCCTGACGTCCCTGTAGACTGTATGAATTGCTATAGCCTGATCTATGTATCTAGTTAGCTCCTTTAAAAATGTCTATCGGTCAGACCTGATCTTCCACAGACAAAGTCATGCTGACTAACCCCAAGTATTCGTTGCCTCCATGAGTGGCGATTAATTGCGTCCCTCAGAAAGTTTTCAAAAACATTTTCTCCCGCTGATATTAGACTCACTAGCATATAGTTCCTTGGTTTGTCCCGACTATCCTTTTTTAAGTGCAGTATATTAGCAATCTTCCAGTCTTCAGGCATGTCTTTGTCATGATTATTATTATTGTCGTGATTGTTATTTGTCGCGGGATTATTAAGTTTATGTTGTGGCCTTTCCTCTTACGTCTCCCACAGCTGATTTGAGATACATCACATTTAACCCTGAGCATTAGTTCACTTGCAAACCTGCTAGAACTGCAAAATACATCCTCCTGCTTCAGTTGTAATTTGTTCAAATATTTCACAGTCCTGCTTCCAGACACTTTGCCAGCTTGATACTCTTGCACCTGGCCCAGGTTATCATCTTGCCCCTGACATACGAATGAAATGCCTTTGAATTCTCTTTCAATTTCCGAATCTTCCCAATATTTACCGGGAACAGACATTACGTAAACGGCTTTGAGAGTTGGAATTTTTCAAAATATCCAGGAGCGCCTTTTAAGTCAACACAGAGTAAGTCTCACAGTGCGTTTCCAGACCGAAGTTAGGTGAGTGATCCCAGAGAGATGATAGAAGTGTAGTAGGGAAGCACTTAGACAATAGTAACCATGACTTTAAGACTTAAAGTTTTCATAGAAAATGGTAAAGATGGAGAATAAATAAAGATTCTGAATTGGAAGAAAATCAATTTTGATATGATAATATAGAATTTTGCCAAAGTGGGCTATGAGGAGCTACTTGCGGGAAAATTTAAAACAGAACAGGGGGAGTCCTTCAAATAGGAAATCGTGAATGTCCATGGGCCACATTCGTGTCAAACAAATTGTGTGACCTACAGTCCAGAAAATCCAAGATGTCAATGAATGTACGGATTCGATAAGGAAAACAACGTAAAGAGAACAGAAGTTACAAAGGGCTGACAACATTAGAAGTTCTTGAGGAAATTTGAAAGTGCAACTGGTCACTTAAAAAGAAATGAGGAAAGTGAAGAACGAGCATGAAGAATAAGTCGAAGGTAAAATAAAGAAGGAAATCCTGGACAAATTGAAGAAACAACTTTCATAACTGTGCTTTTAATAGCACGGTTAGATTTGAACAGAAGGATGGTATTTGCTATTCTGTATGTTTTGTCTGGCTGTTTGAGATAAATGTTTGAACACACAAGTAATAATTGAATGAACTACTAGACTTTCCAGTTGTAAATATTTGTAAAGCAAAATGGCGAGAATGAATCAAGATTTTATTCGTTTAACTGCTGAAGGAGGAGGGAGTTTTAGTAGAATTGGGATTTAGGGCTTTGGGGGGATCGAGAGGAAAATTTGTTCGAGAGAAACTGAAATTATCTGTTCTGAATTCTTATTCCGTGCTGACTGCGATAATCCTTGCAAACTCATTTTCCAGGGGTTAAGGGGAGGATTGAAACAGGAAACTCAAATGAAGCATTGCATAAAGGTCTGACAGTAACTCGATTTATCAGGAGCTGAATATTATCGGTATTTGAACCTGTTTATCCGATCTATCAATGGGAAAAGGTTTCAAACATCATTGTGACTTGAACAAAATACCGAGACAAATACACGTGTGTGAGATTGTTCCAGTGAGTTGACTCGAAACGACATTCAGCAGGTTGTCAGCCTGAACAAAAAACATTATTCACAGTAGGAGAAACTGTACAAGTTGTGGACAAGAGACAGACACATGGTCGCTGACACCATGGAGAGGGCATGGAAATGTGGGGACTGTGGGAAGGGATTCAATTACTCATCCCGGCTGGAACCTCATCAACACAGTTTAACCAGAGAAAGGTTCTTCACCTACACTGTGTGTGGGAAGGGATTCAGTCAGAAAGCCAACCTGCTGAAACACCAACTTATACACACTGAGGAGAGGCCATTCAGCTGCAGAGACTGTGGAAAATTGTTCAGGCAGTCATCCAACCTCACTGTACACGAGCTGGGGGAAACCATTCACCATGTGTGGGAGGGATTGATACAGTCAGCTATCCTACTGGCATACCAGCAAATTCACAATGAGGAGAGGCCTTTCAGTTGCATGTCCTGTGAGAAAATTTTCAGGAATTCATGCCATCTCACTGTGCACCAGTGAACTCACACTGGAGAGAAGCCATTCACCTGCTCCATGTGTGGGAAGAAGTTCACTGACTCATCCGCCTTGTTGACATGCCATGTCTGGCTCTATCGCTGATCGTAGTCTCAAGAATACAATGTCATTTTAAGAATAATTGTTTGATCTTTCCAAGTAAATCAGGAACAACAATATTCTGATCTTCGACTTCAATCAAAGTTTGATTTAGAGGGGAAGCGATAGCCTAGTGGTATTATCGCTAGACAGGTAATCCAGAAGCCCTAGATAATGTTCTGCCGACCGGGGTTCCAATCCCGCCATAGTAGATAGTAGAATTTGCACTCAATAAATATTTCGAATTAAGAATCTAATGATGATCCTGAATACATTGTTGGGGTAAAAATTCATCTGGTTCATTAATGCCCTTTAGGGAAGAAAACTGCCATCCTTACCTGGTTTGGCCTACGTATGACTCTAGACCCACAGCAATGTGGTTGGATCTGGGCAATTAGGGATAGACAATAAATTCTACCTAGCCAGTGATACCCTCTTCCCGTGAATGAATTTTTTTTAAAAAAAATCCTGAATTGATATTTTAAATGAATTCTACACTTCATTTTCTGAAAAGTTGCACGAATTAGCATCTCCAATGAGAAGCTACTGATGAATCCTTGCTGAGAATTATCACTAGCCTGCATATTCTGTATACAGCCCGTTCATTATCCAACAGGAACAAGGGGAATGAGAATTGGTGGAGAATCAAGAATCTTGAAATGTTACGCTTCCATCTGCTTTAGAAATCCCCTCAGCAAGGAATGGAGACAAATCCAATCGAAGTCACAGGCTGTAATTAATCAACATCTAAGTTCTTTGAAAAACCTTCAGAAAAGTTTTGAATTTTGTTGTAACACCCCACGCACATTTTCTTATGAAGAGGGCTTCTGTCGCAGCTTGCTGGCTGAGTTATCTGTTATCTCTATTGACGATATATATCTAAAACGGACACTGAAATGTAACATTTTTAACGTTGATACAATAGGTTCACGTATGGGTCAGGAGATCCAGCTGTGTGTCTAAAGGTTCAACCTGCTCTTGAGAAGAAAATAATCCCTTTGGACAGGAAAGCGATTTCGAAGTGTTCCGTACTGACTCCAGTCCAAGCCCCACCCTCTGACTCACACAAGGAAACTCGTAGGAAGAGACACTGGCAATAGCTGCAGAGACCAGCAGCCCCTGAAGATTAGCCATCGGTTTGTCCTCTGTAATCAGGAAACCATTCTCACCTGTCACGGGACGTGTAGCATTTATATCAATTTCACTCACACCACAGTTTAAACTGCTATTCCTCAAGATATTGCTTTAAAATGTCTTGGGCTTGAATCAATTTTCGAGAAATCGTTGAATCCTGGACTTGAATCCTGCAATTAGTGTTTTGGTGGAGGTGATAGCAGTTGATGTCCGAGACATGAAAAAAAATTAAGTTTGACGAAACACAAATGGACACGTTTTGAAACAAGGCCCAGCATTTGCAATACCGTCAGAATACTACAGGAAATGTCTGATAATCTAACAGAGAAAACAGGCATACTGTACGTGAGAGATATCCTGGAATTTATAGCAAATCACAGCAGGGATTATAAATGATTTCCCACTGACTTTGTAAATACAGCGAAAAGAACAAGTATGTTCAGAACAGTTGTCAAGCAACGTTGACTTTTTCCTTTCCTCCAGATGCTGCCTGGCTTGCTGTGTTCTTCCAGCCCTCTAGTTATCTACCTTGGGTTCCACCATCTTCGGTTTCTTTGACGGTAACCATGTTTATACCAATGCAAAGTCTTTTCAAATGATGCCCACTTTGAAGAAGTTATCTGCCTCCGTCAGACGTGCACTTATGGAGCCCCTTTCTCACTGCAACACTCCTGTGAACTCTTCAGCCCTTCAGATCTTCGACTACACCATGAAACAAACGTGCTACTACAGACAGGTGACAATCCTCAACTCCTGTCGTCGCCACCATCTCATCCTTTAAGGCTTACAAGTACATTTTAAATTCTCAAAATTTGGACCCACTTTCGATTCTCCATCCACACAACGTGTTCATTGCCTCCACAAACAATTCTCTCTCCGATACTCACTCAACCTTCTCTGCAATGCTCTGGCACCTCCATTCCCTCTCCTCATCCCTCCCCCAGCCCAAAGCCTCCCTTTCATGAACTAATTAAGGGTCACTACTCTTCTTTGTTTGATGCATAACCCACATACTCAGAATACGTCTTTTCTGCTTCATACTGGACGCTGAAAAGTTTCAAGGCTCTCCTGTAAACACCTCCAGTCGGAGAATCCCCTCACTCAAACTCCACACCCCTGTTTCCAGCCACCTCCAGGTGCCCCACGCTGCTGCCACCATTACACACATGCAGACCTCATACAGCACTCGGTCTCTCCAGTCTGACGCCACTTCCGGTTCGAACGCCACTTTCGGTTCCGATCCAGCATCTGAGCCTCCGCAGCCAGCGACCGGGATTTATAGGAATTTACCTCGACTTCCGTACCTGCTCTGGACGACTCTACAAATGCTGCCCAGATTCCACCGACAAAAGGACTGGGGCCTGCCTCGACTGCCCTGCAATTTCCGCCTCCACTCCAGACACCGCCCACTCTAATCAACACATTGAATCCCAACCCAGACTCAGTTCTCGGTCCTATTGCCCACCTGCAGCTAGGCCCCACACGTCACCCTCCTCATCTTTCCAATCCCACGATACACCCTATCCTTCCAGCTCTCTCTTTCCTCTCTACCTGATCTCTGCCAAACCCCTTCCCCCATCCAATCCTCCATCTGACTCTCCATCCAATTACACTCCCACTGTCCTTTCCCTCCCAAAATTACTGCCCACCACCACACGGCGTCCAACCCCTACCCAACGCATGCTATCGCCATTTTTGCCTCCTTCAGCCTCATCAAGACCCCAAAACCCCATCCTTGAACCTTGCCGCATACTCACCATCCCCCGACCGAGAATTCTCTGAGGCCGAACAATCTGCCCTCAGTAAAGGGCTTAACCTCGTGCCCCTGCCCCCACCTTAACAAGTTCCGTGGCCGCCATGACGTGGAACTCCTCTTCGGCTTCCTCCGCCTCCATGCCTTCTTCAATGCAGACTCAACCTACCCTCCGGGCACCCCTTTTCCCACCTTTAACCTTTCCCTTCTTCTTTTACATTCCCTGCCAGCCTCTTACCCGCACTGGACCACATAATTTGCAACTACCAACGCGACATCGAATACCTCGGATTCTCCACCACCCTCACCCAATTCAACCTCTCCCCTTACGAACGTGCAGCGCTCCACTCTCCCTGCACCAATCCTCGTTTCACTATCAAACCCACGACAAAGGCAGGGTGGCGGTAGACTGAAGGATGGATCTCTATCTCACACAGGTCGAATGACAACTCTCTGACACCACATCCTATCTCCACCTTCACCCTTCTGTCATCCAGACAGCCGTCCACCACACCTCCTCGATTTCCCCCATTCCATAGCTCTTAACCACACCCCCTCCAAACTTAATAAAGATAGAGTACCTCTTTTCCTCACTTTCCACCTCACTGACCTCTGCATCCGATCTATCATCCTCAAACACTTCCGCCAAATACAATTAGACCCCATCACCCGGAACATCTTCCACTCTCCACCCTTCCCTGCCTTCCGCAAGGACCATTCCTTTCGCCACTCCTTAGTTCGTAAAAATACTGCCCACCAACGACTCCAACCAGTCCAGTACCTTCCCCTGTAAATGTAAAACGTGCAACAACTGCCCATACACCACTTCCATTACCTCCATCCAGGGTCTTAACCTTGCCTTCCAGATGAGACAGAGCTTCAGCCGCATCTCCTGCAAACTAGTCCACTGCATCCGGTGTTCCCAATGTAGTCTTCTCTACATCAGTGATACCAAACATAGACAAGGTGACAGTTTCGCTGAGCATCTTCACCTGGCCCGTAATGCCCAATCTAACCTCCCAGTCACCGCTCATTTCAACTCCTCTCACTCTCCCTCCGACATGTCAGCCCTCTGCCTCCTCGAGAGTCACAGTGACTCAGAGCGCAACTTTGAAGAACAACACCTTATCTTTCACCTCGGCACCCTACGCCCAGGAGGACTTAAGATTGAGTTCTCCAATTTCAAATAACCTTGTCACACAACCCCCAGCTCCCTTTCCAGCCCCATTTCCTCCCTTCCATTCCACGGTCTGAACCTCCCTTCTAGCCACAAATCATATTCATCTCTCCGATCGTCCAACCAAGTCGTACTTACTACCAGTATCCATCTATCACCACATTCCGCTACCCGCTCGCCCTCTGTTAATATACAGCTCCCCTTATCCCCATATCTAGTATTAAAGAAATGTAATAACTGAAATGTTGACATATCCTTTCCTCCAGATGCTGCCTGGCCTTCTGTGTTCTTCCAGTCTCCTGTTTGTCTACTTATACCAGAACTGTGTCCAACCAGGGATCAGGCTAGTTTAGATCTGGTAGTGTGTAATGAAGCGGGTTTCTTAAATGATCTATGGAAATGATCCATTAGAAAATAGTGAACACAACGTCGTAGAATTTAGCGTTGTTTGAGAGGAAGAACTTTTGTTCAGGCACAATTGTGCTGAACTTAAAACAGGGCAGTTAGTAAGTAATGACAACAGAGTTGGATTAAGTAGACAGTGACGGGAGGTTAAGAGAAAAAAACAGTTGGTGTTTAATGACATAGGTTTAGAAACGGAATCATGGCTACAGATAATGTTACATCCCAATGAGGCAGAAGAATTCTAGGAAGGCAATAAATTCATCACGCTTAACCAGGAAGTCGAATATTGTATCAAAATAAAAGAAAGAAAATGTGGCAAACATTAATGATAAACAAGGGGTTTGTGAAAGTTTTCAAAACCACAAAAGATGACAGCAATACGTAAAGACGGAGAAAATACATTTTGAAGGTAAATTAGAAAGCAATTTAAAAGTGGGT